CACAAATCAAGATTGTTGGAGTATTTGGGTCAATTGAAGGCAGCCTTGCCATATGTTGTCTGATTTGTTCTAGGTAAGCCAAACTAGGGCTAACTCTCTTTATTACAGTACACATCCGTCCAAGGGCAGCAACCTTTAGTGACTTGCATCGATATAAAGAATCACCATATTTCAACAATTTCACATAATCCTTAGCAATCTTGCTGATCAGGTTCCTTGCCGTATTAATTTGGCCAAGAGCAAGCTTGTAGTGATCCTTGTTGTACAACACATGGAGAAGATCCCCATAAAATGGATGGATATCATCCAAGCGCGGGAACTCATCAATAATTGTTGAGAGCTTGTCATGAAAATTCTGTTGAGTATATTTTACTTTCCGCATGTAAAACTGACGGAGGCGGGATATTGCATAACCCTTGTGTACAACGGTAGGTGTTTGTCGTTGGGTACGAGAGAGGATGATATCAATGAAGTCCTTCCCATTGGGGACTACTGTAATCTTCTTAAAATTATATTGGACCATAGTTGAATATTACTCTGCCAGACCAACAAAGAGAACAGTTAAGTTTCTGTTCTTGATTAAAGAGTAACCAATAGGACAGAAGAACAAACGCACAATTTTCTCCTATTTCAGCCCAAAGAAAATCAAAATTTTCATTCATTTGAATAAATATTAACACAACTTTTCAACTAAAATTAGCCCTTCCAATTAAGAGAGTCTTTACCAACATCAAACCCATACAGGAGCAAGACAAATGGAAAAATCATAGCACGGGATAAACAACCAAAGTTTTAACTACTAAACGTCAAAAACTTGTTATCTCTTAAAAGAGTTTTAAATTCAAAACATATGCATATGTTTATGAATATGCATATACATACGTAATCAGTAAATGTGCCAAAACAACCAACTATACAGAGTTTCAACTCGAACAAGAAAACCTAAACCGAAGAAAATGAAAATTCTATGCATATCTATATATAAGGATACTGATAGTTACGGTTCTTATTGCGTACGATTAAATACCGAAAATGAAACCTAGTGATGAAATATAAACATCACGTGAAGCAAAACCTGAGATCAGAACGTACCCGTTACACTTGCTATAGAAGATTGCCGCTGATTTGATGATCTAATAAAGATAGAAGAAGAAGAGGCAGAGTGGCTCTCAGCTTTAGAGAGTTTAAAAGAAGAAACAAGGTTAGGGTTCAGGGTTTTAAATACGTAATTCTCAAGGGGCGCCGAGATTTTGCCGTGCAGGCAAAACGGTGCGGATCGGCTTAGGTTAATAACAAATGAAAAAATAATTTATGGATAATATTTTTATTTAAAATAAAGAAGTTGATAATAAATAGTTTATTAAAATAGTTTTTATTTGCAAAAAAAAAAGTTGATAATTTATAATTTATTATAATTCGAATTATTTTTAGCACTAACGTTTTATTAAATTATTGTGACAAATTCCATTTAAAATTAATTATAGTTTAAATTAAACATTCAGGAAGGAACATGTCAATAATAATTTCTATATTAGTAGTTTCCATTCTTTATTGGAAAAAAAAAAAAAACTATTTTTACAATTAAATTAAAAATAATCAATTATAATATATTTATGCAGGAAAAATAATTTATCATATAATTTATAATTTGTTTAAAATTAATTTTAAAAACCAAATTAACTCACCATAATTTCTGAATTTCTTTTTATTAAGTTACATGTTTGTGTGCATCATAAATAATTTAAAATAATTAGTGATAAAAATATGTCCATGAAAAACACGAATCCGGCCGTCAAGTTTGCGCTGCCATCAAAAGATGACGCTGAGAGTGAAGCTGAGACCAGTTCTGTCTCAAATCACCCCCTTCGTCAAGCCTATTCTCCCTTTTCGCTCCCCGATTCTCACCTTCTCTCAAAGACCAGTTTCTTTCTCTTCCTCCATAGATTTGTCACTTTCTTCCCCAAAGACGCTCCTCTCCTTCAGCAGTAATCACGGTAATGCCGCTCTCGAACCCTACCTCTCTTGCTCCATGCCCCATAAGCGCCTCCGCGTCGCCGTTCTCGTCAGCGGCGGCGTTGATAGCAGCGTTGCTTTGCGCCTCCTCCATGCCGCCGGCCACTCTTGCACTGCGTTCTACCTCAAAATTTGGTTCCAAGTAACTATTACCATGTACTATAAACTTTTGCAATGCATAAATGGTTGTTATCTGTGCACGTTTATGATTTCCTGCTTAGATTTCTTCTATTTGCTTATTTTTAATGCTGTGGTTGCAAAGTAAATCTTTTAGTTGTTCAAGAGGTTGAGCTTTTGTTGTCTATTATTTGAAGGTTAAAACGGTAATTTTGTTCGATTAGGTTTTGAAATAACGAGGGGGAAAGTCCGAAACTTAATTTTTTGGCTTGGTTTTTGGCAAGAGAAGTGCTGAAAGTTTTGTAGTTCTCTTCTCTGATAAGATGGAAAAAAAGTTTGGAGTCTATTTTTGGTCCCTCCATGCTATTTGTAGTCACATACATGGGAAAAAGAATGAAGATAGTGCCTTGAACGTCTATGTTTATATGCGTTAAACAAATATATATTGGTCATCAATGAAACTGGGGATTAACTTGTTATAGAAGTAGATAGGTAGCTATTTTGTATACGGGTGGTACCCCCTTTTTATCTCTGTGAATAACATTTTTCACTTTTATTTCAAAAAAGAAACTTGTTATAGAAGTAGTAGTTAATTCTGGTGGTTCTGATTCTTGTTTTTATGTAGGAAGACTTCGAGAACTTCTGGACAGAATGCCCATGGGAGGAAGATTTGAAATATGCTAAAGCTGTTTGTGATCAGGTTACCATTTTGTATTTTCTAGTTCGTTTAGGTGTATTTACAGTTTTGCTTTTACTCTCCATTCATTTGATGGAAATGGCTTCTTAGCAATTAGGACCTAACTTTTCATTTGAAGCTTCAATTAGTAATTTGTTGCCTTAACGTGGAATCTGACAAGTCTTGTTTTTCTTGGCTATTACTCTCATTTACATGCATGGTACTCCCACATGCGTGACTTTAGCATTCACTTTGGTATTTGTGATTTTGTTATCTTAGTTCCAGGTTTGCAATACGGGTGCAAGGGAGATATTTTTGGAGTGAAACTAACTTGCCGTGTATTTTCAGGTTAATGTGCCTCTAGAAGTTGTTCATCTGACAGACGAATATTGGGAGAATGTTGTATGTATTGCCATCTTCGACCAGGCTTCTACTTCTCTATATTCAATTTTTTTTCTGTATCCTATTGCTTATGTTTAACAAGCCAATTAGATGTATGATTTCTCACGTTTGCTTTTATTTGGAATGGTTCTGTACCAATAATTTCTGTTGATTATTCCGCTGTTCCTTTCTTTGCTTCTTTCATGCATTTGTTTGGTGAACTAGAATGGATTGCTTATGAAAGATATGTGTCCATGTTTCAGGTGTCCTACATTATTGCAGAGTATCAATGTGGCCGTACTCCTAACCCAGACGTTCTCTGCAATACAAGAATAAAGTTTGGTATGGTCTTGCTGAGGCTCTCTTTCCCGCCTTTCTCTCTTGTGAGGAGGGTATGCTTGCAAGAGAAATTATTTCATCTATAGTTTAAGGATGCAGATATTTTTAATGTTGTTCAGCTAAAGTGATGATATAGTTTTGTGTTGAATTTTAATTTTCAGGAGCATTCATGGATGCCATCAGTAGCTTCAAATATGATTACATCGCTTCTGGGCATTATGCCAATGTGATTCATCCTTCTACTGATCAAATTGATGAGCCTTCTGTTTTGGAACTATCAAAAGACATGGTAACTACTGGAGCCATGCAATTACACTAATTTTTTCTTCTGAATTTATTGCTATCTGTTCATATGGCTGATCATCAGAAGCTTTAGAACTTTCAGATTTAGCTTTTTATTCAAAACAGTAAACATTTAGTTGCTCCTTTCCTTGTAAACATGTATTTTCAATATGCATGTCATCAAAAGATTAATGCTACTCTGAGATGGAAAACTTCAAGATTGCTTACACTCGACAATTTTCTGACTCTATTTTTATCTCCCTTTTCTACTTTTGTTTTCCTATAAAAGATAATTGGAAATAGTTTTTAGTTAATAGAATTGGAAACAATTTTTTGGCAATGAAAACATGAAAACTTTTTGGTTGAGCTTTTGTTTGTAGAGAGAGCAAAAAGGAGTGATAAAAAGTGACACAAAAAGGGTGTGTCAACCATTTACAAGAGAAGTTTACATCTTTCGTAAAGAAGAGGAACTATCTTTAGGTTCTATACATTTTCTCTAACCTTCAGACAAAATATTTAAGACCTCTTAGGCATGGAACCAACAATGTTTATAATTCCATTAAATGGAAAACAAGCTCAACCTTCACGAGAATAAAACCACAACCATCTTATCCTTTGGTGATGATTGATCAGGGCTGTGAAGGTTGTGAAACTTAGAATGCCTAGATCCTGAGCAGCTGTCAATTAGTGATTGATGAGATATGGGCTTGCTTGCTCATTCCAGTGGCTATTCTATGAGTAATATTGAAAGAAAGGAATTGCAAAATGTCTTGGACTATTTGCACTCCTTTGCAGGAGCAAATGGGAAAAAGGGTCCATCTTATGCATATTGGTAAAACAAATTTTCCAAGAAAAAAGAGAAAAAAAATATCAACTGAGCATTTTTTTGGCATTTTCTGGAAAATTTTCTTGTGAAAGATCTTTTCCACAGCTAAACACCCTCAAGGCATTGCAGTTTCTTTAATTTGTTTTCCAGTGTATGAAAAGACAAGAAGAAATAAATTTATCTTATCCATAGATAATTGTATTTTGTGTTAACAACTTCTTGAATGTCAAAATATGTCTTTGCTATGACATCTAGCTTATGGCCATATGTGTGTGCATGTTGTGCATGTTCAACACTCCTCTCTTTATGTCCCAATTTGTAGGTTTTCAAGTATTTTGTTGCTTTGCAATGGTATGGAATTTGTAATGTCAAATGAAATGGTAATTTAAACTTTAAACTTTGCTGATTGGTTTCAAACTCTCAGCTTCATACTATTAACTATTAATGACAAGTTGAATCCTAAACATTCTATCCCTACTTTTCACACTTTTATCTGCCATGTTGAGTTATGAGAAGGATAAAGGCAATAGGTCTGCATTTTTCTTTGTGGTCATGTGTGCAAACCTTGTCCATAAAAGTTTGAAAAGTCCATTTTCGCCCTATCGACTTTGCTTATTTATGTAGCTTCTATGTTTTATCACTTGTGATTTGCACGAATTCAGAGTGATGTATTAAATACTATCAGATTTTGAATTTCCTAGTTTAAATCTGTAGGTCAAGGACCAAACTTACTTCCTTTCACATCTCTCACAAGCTCAGCTTAAACGATTGATTTTCCCACTTGGTTGCATCCCAAAGGTATGCAAGGATTACTTATGTTCCCTTCCAATTATTGTTGTGAATAATTTTCTAAATAGTACTTGCTACATAATATGAGAGCAGTGTTCATTGTATATCTGGTAGTTCTTGGGACTTTCTCATGAGTATCATGAATTATCATTTCAATAATGACTATGTAGCCATTGACATTACTACTCCGCACAGCTTGTTGCATTTGTAATGCAGTTGTATCATTCCCTGTTCCTGCAGGATGAAGTTCGCAAGTTAGCCGCAAAATTTAATCTGCCTAACAAAGATAGGAAGGATTCACAAGGAATATGTTTCCTTGGAAAGGTAATCCCATAGCAATACTCAACCTAATTTCATTTAATGTGAAATTTTCACCGGTAGAAAAGGTTCACGACAAGCTTCTTGATATATATTTTAGAGTATCTCTCAAAAAAGTATATTTTGGAGTAGTATGCCAGTCTAATTCTTTTTTGTTCGTGCCGGCGTCTTTTTTGGTCACTTGAAATATAAGGAAGGTTGAGTGGCTTGAATGGGAGGATGAGCATGAAGTTGAGCTTAGTTCTACTTTACTTCTAATTTATTCTTTTGGTATTTCTTGTATCATCAATTTGGATTGAAAACTTTAAATGGAGAACTCTAACCTCTATTTTTTCTTTGTTTTGATTTCTAAATACTGAATTTTCTGGCGTTCTTCATTTCTGAGTTATTATTTCTTGTCAAAGTGGTTTACTAGTACAAGCACATGATTTGTGGTTTTAATTCTTCCTGTAATTGTTTCTCGTTCTAGATCAAGTTTAGTGAATTTGTTGCGAGACACATAGGGGAGATTGAAGGTATTATATTGGAAGCTGAAACAGGGGATTATCTTGGTAATCATCGGGGGTTTTGGTTCTATACAATAGGTCAACGTCAAGGTCTACGTCTGCCTGGAGGACCATGGTATTCTCTCCTTTCTTCTGAATAGTAAAATATTCAATCTTCAGTTATGATGCATAAACATATGCACTTTTATGTTTTGGATTGATATTCTGGTGGCTTTTCTCATTACTGTTTTGTATATGCTATAATGTGATTGTGCAGCATTTGATGATGTACAGACCTTGTTTTTAGTTTTATATGATTCATATGCTCAAACATGCAATTTTACTTAATTATCTGCTATTATTTTAAACAATAATAGTCTTTCTTACTCTTTATTCATTTTCCTTTTCAAGTTTTTTTTTATTGTTCCTTATTGGTGAATCATATGCAGGTATGTTGTTGAGAAGGATGTCAAAAACAACGTAGTGTTTGTATCGAGAAATTATTTCTCATTTGACAAAAGGAGACGCCTATTTCGTGTTGGCTCCTTAAAGTGGCTTCATGGGACGCCTCCAAACCAGACTAATGAGCTCCACTGCAAGGTGAAAACTTCTATTCTTATAATTCACGGTTGAGATATGATTTCTGCATAAGCCTTAATAAAAAAAAAATCTGAGTTTTTTACACGAATGCTCAGATCTTTTAGATTGGTTATTGTATGTTTGATGCTAGCAAAAAACATGTGGCCAAAATCCAGATATATTTGGCTTCGTCCTATTTATTCACCATCAACTAGCAGTCCTATTTATTCACCATCAACTAGCAGGAGAGTGTGTTTATTTTGGTAATGTCAATGCTAACATATATTTTTATATGATAATGTATTTTTATACGTCCAGGTCAGACATGGCCCTGGCTTTTACAAGTGCAGTTTTAAAATGGAGTTGGGGCATGAAGGCTGTGAGAACGTTGCAGTTGTCCACTTATCTGAAGATGATCAAGGTCTGGCAGCTGGACAATTTGCAGCGTTCTATCAGGGAAGAACCTGTATAGGTTCTGGAGTAATTTTAGACTCTTGGGACGATCAAAATTTTCCTGTGTGTGCAAGAGCTCTTGAGATTGCAAGAATGGAAGATAAATCGAAGATTGGGCAACCAATTAAGATAAAGGTAAAACCCGAGATTCCTGTTGAGTCTGGTCGAAACAGTGCAGATAATACGGATATGGTCAGTGCTTAAGCAGAAAATATCCTGATCAAATTGCCGCTAGCCTGCCGGTAACCTCCAGAATTTCGGTGAAGCAGCTGGAAACCCTCGAAAGGGAAGTGGCAGGCAGAAGGTCTTGATGTTCCATGGACATGGAATGCCTGTGATTTTCTGAATTCAGACGACAGAATCCGGGAGTTGAAAATCAGCAGTCTGTATATAAAATGGCATCAAATGAAGCTCACCGCTAGTGCCCGTATATAATTTTCACTGCTGGGAGTTATTTATATTTACTTGGCTATATTTTATTTATTTATTTTCTAATGGTCAGTGTATTTTTGGTAAATAAATTCTGTGTACCATCTCAGATAAATCGGGCCAGCTTTAATCGTGGTTTGGCTTATCGGCCAGTTTAATGTATATCTCATGTATGTCCAAGTGTTGGGAAAAAATTAAATTTTAAAAAAGTAATAGTAAAAATATTTTATTAATTTCATCTATTTATTATTTATAATAATTTTATGGTTTACAATAACTTATATATATATATATATATATCTAAAGGTTTTAGGTTAGAAATATTTTTATCTACTAACTCTAGATTTTTAATTATTTCAAATTTATTTTTTATTTTTAATGAATCACATTTTATATTAAGTATATGAATCTAAAAAGTTAAAAATATATTTGCATACTCTAGACTGAAATCACTGCCGGTTAACCATTAAGAGAAAAACAGAGAATGGTCTCGTGTCGTCCGGGTACATTTTAGAGCAGGGCGTTTATCTTGCGCCACCACTTTCGCTCGAAGCCCATAACTGATAAGACAAAATCCCCTCCCCCCTTTAACGGCTAAAGGATGAGCCTTCCATTTCCAAACCATACAAGTCTGTCCACTCTCAAAAATGTCAGCTGTAGCTGGTAGTCTCTTCTTCGCAAGATCGCTCTCTTTCTTCGCTCACTTATCTAGGCTTTCTCCTTCTTTACCTTCTACCTCTCTCTCCCATTCTGCTCCAACTCTATCTCTTTCCGTCCCTACCTCTCACTTCTTTCTTCCTCGCTTGTCCGTCTCTTCGTTATCCTCGGGTGTTGGTGATACAGAGCAAGAAGAGCAGTATTTGGAGGAATTCCAACGAGAAGAATATGAAGAAGAGATATATGAGCATGACAGTGTTTATAACGATGACGATGACGAGGACGAGGATTTCGTGGTTGATGTCTCTGCTCTTGAAAAGGAAGCTAAGGACGCTGTTCGAGAGTATTCCTCCTCCTTATCTAGTCAACTGAAACTCGGTAACTTCTCTTAACTGAATTCAAGCAATTGCCAGTTGATAAGAGCGTTTTTACACGTGTATGCTTATTTGTTGTTGCTTATTGGCCTGGTTCTTTGTCGCATGAGTTCCTCTGTTGTCTTAGAATGAGAAATTTGAACTCACCTAGTACCTTGCCGAAACGCAAGAAAAGTTAGTCCGATGTATATTTTTGGTATAACGATGGAGCGGATTAGGATTGAAAATTGCATGAATATAAACATGCGAGCAGATTTCATAGATTGGTTGGTTCTGTTTGGTTTGTTCTTATTACTTTTCAATTTCTCATATATTTTGTAAATTAAAATATATAAATGCAAATTTGAAATTTCATTGCCTCATTCATTTTCCCTTAATCTGTAGAGTTTTTTTTCCTTTTGTCTATTATGATTCACACTGACAAGAGTTATTCACACTTGGCTTTGTGTTAGATGTGTTATCAGAAGATGAGATGGATATTAGAAAGGAAGCCCGTGGGAAGGATAGACGGCGTAAGGGTACAACTAAAAATGTTAGTGACTTTTTCTTTGATCATTTTCATACCTCATTGGCAAGAATTAATGATTTCCTATTTCTTGTTAGTTCATCACTCTTTGTTCTTTTTTCTTTGATTAATATGTAAATAACTTTGTGCATGGGTCTGCAGCCCTTGGTGCTTGTGAATGAATAATACTATACTATTTTTATTGAAAAAAATTACTCTCTGTTTTTTTCTCTTCCATTCAATCCTATTTGACAAACAGATTTACTTTTCATAATCATTCTATCATCTTGTTTTCCTGAACATTTATGTAGTTGTCTCAGCAAAGGTGAAATTAGTTTTCAGTTTTACTCCGTTGTTCATTCTTTTGACAGCCTGGTAAACTTTTTCCTCAGCTGCAACTCATTGATGCTAGAAATGGATAAGAAAAACCCTATTCCTTTTTAATTTTTCAAAGTCCCAAATGCATTTACATCTTGTATTCAGTTTATCTGGGATATATGCTAGACTTTGTCTTGACATCAGATTAAAACTGTGCTCGTTGTGTATATCATCTAGAGGAATGAGGAGATGATTAGAAAGGAAAACATGGAGTACAATATGACCTTTTTAATAGCGTTTCTGTTACTAACACCATCTCCAAATTACGCCTGTAGATCCCTGATCATCTTCTTCCAAAAGTTGCGATTGTTGGAAGGCCAAATGTTGGCAAATCAGCACTATTCAATCGTCTGGTTGGGGTACGTAATTGCATAATGCTTTCATCTTTCTAGTTTGATATTAGTCTAGTTCTCTTTCTAGTACATACTACATAGGTTCTAGTACATACTACATAGGAGGACAGCCAACTCTACCTGCAGGGTCATATTCACAAGCTATCTTGGTCCATTATTGGAAGTTAGAATTATTTTCTTCAAACTATGTCAGGGTAACCGGGCTATTGTTGTGGATGAACCTGGGGTAACCAGGGATCGTTTGTATGGTAGATCTTTCTGGGGAGAACATGAGTTTATGGTGGTGGACACTGGGGGCGTTCTCACTGTTTCAAAATCACCTGCTGGTGTTATGGAAGAATTAGCTGTTTCAACAACCATTGGCATGGATGAGATCCCACAGGCCTCGAGGGAGGCAGCTATTGCTAGGATGCCCTCTATGATTGAGAAACAAGCTACAGCAGCTGTGGAAGAATCATCAGTCATCATATTCCTTGTTGATGGCCAGGTAATTTTTGGCATATGGGTTATTGATAGGAGCTTTTAAATTTACTGTTCTTTTGGGATAACGAGCTTTTATTTTAATTTGTTGTTTTTTTAACTAATACATTCAAAACTGACAGTTTACTTAGGGGAGAGTAAAACAAAATTCTGAAAGAGACTTTGTGTGTTTATAAAGTAAATTTGTTGAAAGGTTGTCATTTCTTCTTGGGTTAACATATTTTATTTCTTATTCTATGAATCTGGTGATCCTGGGTTCTAAATTTGACGTGAATTCATGGATAAGTGATTGCTGTAATTGAGATCACAAACTTGTGAACAACCCATGATCTGATATCCATATGGATGCATCATTGACCGAGTATTAAGTTCTTTATTATCCATCTGAACTGTTGCTGTAATTAAAGATTTAGACTGCTGGAGACCACAGACAAGTAAGGAAAGGTGTGGTAGAAAAAGCTTCCAGAAGCTGCTGTTATTCATCAGATAACTAGTGCTTCAGTGGAGGAAATGATTGAAGAATAGCCTAATATTTTCTAAGAGAGAATAGTATGCATGTGGTATAAAAAACTGATGGAGTCATTATCTAAAGATATATTAGTGGCTTTTGGCAGTGAATTTAGATAATATAAAGAGTGGAAGGAGATTTATGGCTATAACTACTTTGTAGTACTAATGCTTAAAAAAATGGCAGCTGTTAACATCAAAATGTGCTTTCCATAGATTTTTTTGAGTAGCATGATGTTATATACTTGACCCTTGTAGCAAATTAACTTCATGATGGAGTTTTGATAGCAGAGAAGTACAGGCTGCTGTGTCTTGATTTTTTTTTTTTTGCTCATTATTACAACTTTCTTAGCTTGTTTATTTATTTGACTATAACAGACAATTTGTCACCACAACTATACTGTTGGAGGGCTGTTTGAATCCCTGTTCTACTACAGAAAATTTTAAATTGGAGAAATTTGTTCTGCAATATACCAACTACGTAAAAAGTTGGACAAAAAGTGTTAATAGGATTGTGCTCATTATTACAACATTCTTAGCTTGTTTATTCATTTTGACTATAAGTTTTGAAGTTTTTGAGATGCTAAATAATGTTTTAACACTAACAGGCAGGTCTAACAGCTGCTGATGTGGAGATTGCAGACTGGCTGCGCAAGAACTACTCAAATAAATTTATCCTTCTTGCAGTGAACAAGTGTGAATCTCCTCGAAAAGGAATTATGCAAGCATCAGAATTTTGGTCCTTAGGGTAAGCTGGATTTTTGTTGCTTCTTGAAAACCCTTCTGTTTGGTTTGTCAGGTAAAAAGCGGAGCATGTGCGTCAGAATAATTTTTAATGATGCCTCTTTTTCCTGTGATAGTATTTTTCTCTAAACTTCTATCTGATTAATTTGGGGCTGTGTTTGGACAATTTTGTAATTCAAGCTACTGAATGAAACAGGAATTTAACATTTACTATGGCTTATATAGTATATGAGATATATCAATAATTGCTTTGAGGCTTTGGTATTACTTAATGGGTGCTACCCTTGATTTAAGCCATGCTAGTTCTCTGGAAACTTTTATGCTAGCCTATCCTTATGTAACCTAGGTGAACCTCCACCTGAAGGACAAGAATTTTGAAGATAATGGTTAAAAATTATTAAAATTTTTATTTATTATTTTTGGTTATTGACTCTTAGAGAATCAAACATTATGATTCCCTTCCCTTTTGGTTTAAATTTTTGTCTCCTGTTATTCTTTATTGTAGCTCATTTGTTCCCATGGATATAGCCATTGGCTTTGACTTTTCTGAATTTCTTGTTTTATTAAATGATACATGAAATTTTGGTTGATTGACTACCAGGTTCTCACCACTTCCAATATCTGCTTTATCTGGGACTGGAACTGGAGAACTTCTAGATCTTGTTTGTTCTGGACTGGAAAAAGTTGAGGTTTGCAATTTTACACTACTAGCATCTTGAAAACTTATATCACAAATTGCTGGTTGAGCTGAAATGTATGAGATGATATTAGCTGTGGTTAATCTGTAGGACACCCTAACCAGCATAGCACTTGTTTTGCTGACATTTTACTTTGTATTAGTAGTGTAAGGAACTTAGTCTGTGCTATTTTTGCTTTAGCAGCCCCAAGTGTCCCCATCAAGGTATATCGTTTGTAGATGACGAAGATTTGGTTTTGGTCTGGTCGACTTATTTGGAATTGAAAATTAATCTTATGACATGGATGTGGCCTATGTAGAGTCACACCAATCACTTGAAAAAGGAGTTTAGTATTCTTTATCTCCTTTTTTTTTCAAGGCTTCCTTTAGGAGGATTTTCTCCTATACATCCATTTAGTTGTTTGGTTTTCATTCATAATTTCCTTAATTCTTGTTCTTTTGTTTTATTCTTAGATTTGCAAATATTCACCTTTGTCTTAGTAAAACTTCTGCGAATTTTTTCATACTATTGACCGTTCTCTCTTTTGGGACAAATAATATTCATTTAACTTAACAGTGACTTGAAAAATAATATAGGATATCTTGATGTGGTCACTATACCGTGTCGCATTTCCTACCGACGATGGACATCCAAAGAATGTCTTTTACTTGTGAACAAGGGATAAAGAAACTACCCAATACTATTTTCCTGTCTCTATTTTGTCTTGATTGTATAACAAGGATCTAATTGATTGGTTATTGCAATTACTAGGATCAGGAGGATATTCATGAAGAAGAAAACTATGTTCCATCAATTGCAATTGTTGGCCGACCAAATGTAGGTAAAAGTAGCATTTTAAATGCATTGGTTGGTGAGGATAGAACAATTGTTAGCCCTGTCAGTGGTACCACTCGTGATGCTATTGATACCGAATTTACTGGACCTAATTCCCAGGTATGCTGGTTGAGAACTCTCATATTATAAGTTATGCATAATTTGTTAATTTATGGATGGTATTTATTCTTTTTGAGTAACACAGGTTACATGGTCTTTCCTCTTAACATTTAACATATGGATCTTCACAGATTGTTGAGTGATTGTTCACTTTCTGCATAGATATGGCTAGTTGGGGTTGCTTTCCATCAGATTTACTTATAAATTTTGCTTTGGGTTGGGTATGGAATCAATCTGTCACAAGTATGGAGGTGTCAAGTACAGATTATATGTGTGTTTGCTTTACAATTATAGTTCCAGAAGGATATTTTTGAGTTGTTCATTCACTGTAAAATGGCTATGAATGCGTATATCATTTTTGTCTTCTCTTCAAATAATATTATAAGGGATTTTTTCCGAGATCTATGTATCATAAGAGAAGCCAACAGGTTATAAGCTGATATGAGAAAAGTATCCTTTATGATATGCTTCTTTTCTGTTGGGTTGCATCCCCAAATTGGTTGCTGACATACTTACTTCCTGTTAGGTTGCATGCTAAAAAAAATTAGGAGGCTACTAGCAGTTAAGAATTGCAGTTAACTTAAGTTCTGCTTACTTGAATAGGGGAGATAGGATGAGAAATGAATTATATCTTAGGCTTTCTTTGTGTTTGCACTTTAATTACTTCCAAAACATTCATACAGTAGTTAACTGTCTTTCAGAAGTTCCGGCTCATTGATACTGCTGGAATCAGAAGAAGGGCTGCTATAGCTTCATCAGGTAGTACAACTGAAGCTTTGTCAGTTAACCGGGCATTTCGTGCCATTCGTCGTTCCGATGTTGTTGCTCTTGTCATTGAGGCCATGGCATGTATCACGGAGCAGGTAAACTTTACATTGCATGACATTTAACCATTTCTTTTAGATAAACAACATGCTTGAATTTTTGTTTAATGTTGTTATTGAGATGTGTAGAAGTCTAATGTTTGATTGTAAGCTGAGTGAATCTAATGTATTTAAGAAGCAAAATTGATAACTAGGATAAATGTCATTGATGGCATGAACTTGAATAGTTTTTCAGGGGGCACTGTCTTAATATGTAGTTGTCATGTCCTTTTAAAGGGTTACTAGCTGTTTTCTTTACATCGTTGATTCCTTTAATTACCTTATCTGTTTTGCCCAAATGTCCTAGGATTGCAAGATTGCAGAAAGGATAGAACAAGAAGGGAAAGGTTGTCTCATTGTTGTAAACAAGTGGGACACAATACCTAATAAAAACCAGCAAACAGCTACATACTACGAGCAGGATGTTAGAGACAAGCTCCGTGTTCTTGACTGGGCACCTGTTGTATATTCAACTGCAATAGCTGGTGATAGTGTTGAAAAGTACGTTGTCATCAGCTTTATCTTTCTTTCTGTAGAACTCGTTAATATGATTGTGTACTGTTTTACAGCTTCTCAGTTGTCTTGGATTGTTCATCCGTACCATTAAATGAAATCATGAATGATATTCGAGCCTTTTGATGTATTTGAATACTTACAACGAGGAAAAGTATTCACATGCCATCAATAACAACTGAGGGTATGAAATTTTTTACCCAAAACAAAACAACTGAGAATATGGACTATTGTAGTTATCTTGGCAGATAGTGACCTTGTTGACCAGATACTCTGAATTTTCTTGAAACATCTTAGAATCTCGAAATGCATAAATTAAATGCAAGTTAATGAGGGATGTAAATCTACTAGTTGTCCCCAAGTTATTGGACTAACAACCAGGATATATGTTCTAAGTTGTTGGACTGACAACCCCGAAAAGACCTCTGCTTATTTTCATCACATCATTAGACTGTGACTGATTAAGGTGAGCTAAATTTTTGAGAATGAGTTGTTTAATGTTTGTATCCTTCTGATATGGAGTTTCATTATCATTAAATAATTGGTCGGGCAATTAACTGTTCAAAAAGTTTTAAGTTAATAAGAAAAAACTTCTGTAGTATCATCTCTTACATGCAAGTAGAATAGTTTAGCACGCAAACATACCCAATGGGTATGAGTGAAATGCAATTAACAGGATTTGCACTAAGGAGCAATTATGGCCTACAAACAAATGAATAAGAAGAAGGGGGTTAAATTCCTATGATTTGGCCATAGAGTTCAACTCTTCTATAGAAGAAATAACTGGTTGTTTTAACCAATTATTGAAAGAGCACTTACACTTTATCATTTATGCTCTTAAATTACATCAGGTTTTGTTAGGAAACAAGTTTACTTGGTCAGAACATCAGTGTTTTTGTGAGCAGCAATCATATGGCACACGATTCTTATAGAATGAGTTGCAGTAATCATTGCTTTAAGAGAAGTTATTTTCTTGCATTATGCATCCAATTAACGTCAGTACTCAAGTCTTTTATTTCTGTAAATCCTTTTGAAAAAGCAATGATACACATAAATATGATTGTTCTGTGTCTAGGATAATTGTTGCTGCTGGAACTGTAGAAAAAGAGAGATCAAGAAGGCTAAGTACTTCCATATTGAACCAAGTGGTACGGGAAGCGGTAGCATTTAAATCTCCTCCTAGGACCCGTGGTGGCAGGAGGGGACGTGTTTACTATTGCACACAGGTACTACTGTTACCCTGTACCATATGCTTTCATATGTGTTCTTTCTTGATTACTTTTTTATTTCTCTTCTGGAATTAAGTTAGCTGTATGAAATAATTAATTATTGAAAAGATTCACTGCTTAAAAGACAAACATCTTTCGTTCTTTTAGATTTTTAAAAGATGTCTATGAAAATATGTATTCACTGTATGCTTTTAAGTTTTTAATTGTGCAAATCACTCTTCAAGTTCTCTCTTTCAGTTTAATCCAGAAAAGTAGTAGATATATGTTTTCACCTGCTATTTCTTTGCACCGAATTCATACTGCAGTTTTCATGTGTAACCTAGCTTTCCTTTATTTCTATGTAGTTATGAACTTACAATGGCACGAAATAAAAGATAATTTGCTTTGCAGGCTGCTATTAGGCCTCCCACATTCGTTCTCTTTGTTAATGATGCAAAACTATTCCCTGAGACTTATCGGCGATATATGGAGAAGCAACTCCGTGTGGATGCCGGATTTTCTGGTACACCAATTAGACTTCTTTGGCGAAGCAGAAGGAAATTGGAAAAGGATGAAGGTTGGTTCAAGCTTTTCAAATGTAGATGTTAGTCTCTTTGGTGCATGTCCTCATTCTGCTAATTCAAAAGAGACGCTTAGTGTTGGCTGGAAAAAAAGAAAAACAGAAGCCGGAACAAAAAAATTAATTTAAAAAAAAAAAAAACAAATGAGCATATATGCTCACATATTAAGAGTCTTAGCACTTTTTATATGGCAATGAAATTCCATCTTATATATCTTTTGTCGTCAAAAAAAAAAATGTCTCAGGAAGGTTGACTAGGTAATAGAAATTCTTTCTTAGTCATTGTTGCTTAGTGTGAAATTAGAATCGTTATCTTCAAAACTACTGCTTATGTCCAAGATGCTTTTCTTCAATAAAAATAGTTTTCTTTGGTTCTCAGGCAGGAGAGCGACAAGAGCTCAAGCGAATCTGGTACCTAGGGACAGAATGGCATTAACTACATGAATAGATGAAGTTCAAATCTTATGGTCTCATTTTTTGTCATGCCAGGAGCTCTTCGAGAGAAATATGCTGGTATTTGCCAGATAATCCACGGAATGTCAATCAAATTAAGGACGGGTTTGATTTTCCAACTGCAAAATACTCTATAAGAGTTTGTCTGGTAGCCTAGCCTGGAATCCGACATAAGTTTAATCTCATATAGAAATATTCAAGATTCTGATTGGTTGTAAGATTGGTCATCTTTCCTTGGTAGGAAATAGTCTGTAACTTTCCTTGGTAGGGAATGTTCTGTAAGTTCCAATCTTGATGAGGAACTAATACAAGTTGAAGGGAAGAGATTGTGACCTTAAATATATGACCTAATTGGGATGGTTGTGGAGATGGTAGTTGTCGGTTGTAAATTAATTTTTTGTAACTTCCTCAACTATTTCTGTTTGTATTAGAATATATTAATAGAAAAGTAAGTTGGAGCCCAAAAAGAATTTGCTAACCGTCCTTCAATATTGCCCTGGTTATCTTTGATTTTAATTTCATTTATATTTTCAATTTTATAGTCTTATCTCTTTTTCAGTGAAGAGATAAAAAAATATATATTTAATTTAACTTTTTATCTCATTTATAATATATTTTTATTTTTGTTTTATAGAATTAAAATATAAAGTCAAAATTATACATAGACATTTTAAATAGTATCCAACCATATGTCAACTGCTTTTTACGTTGATGTGATCTTACACGATATTAATAGTACGTGCTCTGTAAGCTAAAATGATGACTGCGTATTCATTTAACAGCATTCTGGCAGGGTCTCACGTGATCATATAATGAAGTGTTGTAGCATATGTATGAAGAAAACCATGTTCCAATCAGTCGTTACTAATTATGACGTTGAAACGCAAAACAATTTTTGGCCTGTAACCATCGTGTATTTTAAGTAGAAATTTATAACTAACTTTCAGCGTGGATTATAGTTTGAAAAAAAACAATAATTGGCCTGTAACCATCGTGTATTTAAATAGGAATTATGAACTTTCAGCCTCGATTGACACAGATGTCAATTTTATAATCAAAGCTGCGATTTTCTTCCAGAAATTTCAACCAATGAGTTTATCAATATTTGCACATTATCCATAGAATTTAATTTTTCAGACCATACAGGAAAGTTCATTTGGAAATATTTTACATTCTTAAATTTAAGAATTACATTAAATTAGTATCAACGTATCCAATTAGCGAAATTAGTTTTAAATTATCTCTTTAGTCCAAGTGTTAGGTGACTATTAAACTATTAATTGAATAATCTATATTGAACATTCTTTTGCAATAAATTTTATTTTTATTTTTACAAATTATTAAATCTTATAATTATAATTATAATTAATTCATTTCAAATATTTATTAATAATTGTTAAATATATGTATTAAGTATATGTAACATCTGTCAATTCATGCATATTTATTACATAGATGTAACACATAATCTCACTTTCGAAACCTAAAAAAATCAATTCAGTATATCTTATTAAGTGCATTTCCTCTTTCCTTTATGTAATATATAATATCAATTTAACCAGTTATATTTGGAAATTTGTATTAATTGATAATCAATTCATCAACTTATTTTGTTAGGAGTCTTGTCAAATCAAAGTGAATTCAAATAAAAACTTTTTATTTTTAATTAATAAAAAATAAATAAATTTCTTGTAAATCCTTTAATTCTCATTTTTAATTAAATTTTAAAAAATAATCATAAAAACTAATTAACAAAAAATATATTCTTAGCGCTTAAGCAAATGAAACAATATAATTAATTAGGTGACCCCACAAGAATTAATATTGCCCATATTAGTATTAGTGTATCCCATCAAATATTATACACGTGGGAGATTAATGAAATATGAGAAGACATAATAAAACGACGTGGCTTTGATAAACCAGTGGAGAAAGTTGGCATTTGTCCTATAACGTCTTTTTAATTTTTTTTATTAAAAAAAAAAAATAGAGCATAAAAGTTAATAAAAAAATAAAACAATTTAATTAATTAGGTGCCCGCAAGAGTTTAATTATACACGCGGGAGATTGATTAAAGAGAAGAAGACAAAATAATAGAGAGAAAGTCGGCAAGTCAGTCTATAATATTATTACTGGATAAATTTTTAATTATTTATTATTATTGCACTTAATTCTTTTAAATATAATTATTTTAATTAATAATCATATTATTTTTATTTAAAAATAAAATCAAGAGCTATATCAATTTACTAATAAATTAAATCAAAATTTTAATTCATTATAATCACTCCAACTAATTGAATTTAATAACTACATAACTCGAAAGTTAAAATCGATTTAGAGCAATTAGGATTGGATCTAACCCAAAAATATTAGAAATTATTAGACATATATATATATATGTATGTGTGTATGTATATATTTACTCTGCTATTATTTTCATCTACCAGCCAGACAATCAACCACCATGCTTATGATATGGAGTCCTACTGAGTTAATTAACACGAGACACATACTTATTGGCTCATTATTGTATAAGGGTTCAATGTAGTTTAATTTTTTTTGTGTGTAACATTTTCTTTCCAATTACCACTTATCCAATATTTTAATTTAAATTATTATTAATATGATCGCTTAAATTTGTATATAAAATTTATTAATCACATATTTTTATAATATAAAGATTATTTTTATGTAAAAAAATATGTATTATATATATTTGTATGTTTATAAAGACAACAAAGAACAAACCAACCAATTATTATTAGATCTCCCAACCAATCAAAATTGGTGGACTTGAAGGTCTCTAAATTCAAGTGAATTGAACTACCATTTGTTTTCTTAAAATTTTTATGTAATTATTTTTTAAAAAAAAATTAACCAAACATATATTTATTAGTAAAATAGCTTCTTAATTTAAAAATATAACTTAAATTTTCTTAATTATTAAAAAATACTGGGTCGTGGTTAAGTTTCTTTAGTTGTATTAAGTACATTGAGTTAAAAATTTAATATTACGTTATGTTTTACAAAAAAAAAAGTTAAAAATAATAAATTGTTAATTAATTTATTAATTAATAAATATTTCATATAATATCAGAAATGATATATGGAAAATTGTTTATATATTAAATAGATACACATAAATACTATATATTATGTTATATATAAATACAAAGTAGTCATTTTTAATGCCATATAATGTGTTTAAAACATTAAAAGACATTATATTATATTATATTTTTATTCTCTTGGCATAGAATAAAGAGGAAACGTCCGTGCCGGATAAAGAAGATTTATAAAATGGGGACAAAATACAAACGTCAGTGGTTTGTTATAAATATTTTTATATATTATAATACAGTTCAAAACTAAGTGAGGAGGGACCGCTTAAATTAATAATATTATATTATATTTTTCTAATAAATATATTATATTATATAATTAAAGTATATATATATTAAAATTACTAAAAATCTGCTTCGAATTTAAAAATTTTCTAACCAAACATAAAAAAATTTTATATTTTAATAAATTTTAAATTCGTGACGTTTAAATAAAATACAATTATCTTAAGAACCGTATGCAATGAAAACCGCGAGAATGGTTTGTAAAAGAATTTTGTTATCTTAAATTTTATCAATTTTTAACAAGAAAATTATCTACTCCGTCCAACTAGTTTCGGGTTTGAGTCCCGGGCAACCGATTACATTATGATTATCGTATTGAGATCATATTCATTTAAAAATTGCACGAATATAAATTCAGTATTCTAAATCATTAGATATTGGTGGTGATAGAAAGAGAGAGTATTAATTATAAAGATTAATTTTGATTAATCACACCTACTCTTCTTCAACTGATCCCACAGTATTAAGATTAAGCTGGTCAGCTAGCTGGTGAAGAGCCTTTAATACGCCTAACTATCCAACAGTGTCTTCTAGTTGGAAAGTACACTCTGAGAAATCAGCTATTTATAGTGCAGGCCAGAAGGCAGTTTTTATGTGTCTTTTTGTACGTAGTCAAGAGCTTACACTAGTTAAGTGTGACTTCTGTAATTTTTAGATTATAATTCTTTAAAAAGTATTACTATCTTTTGATTATCTGTTGAATGAAATCAATGATTCTTACTCTTAACTAACTTCTGTGTGAATATTATATAGTATTATATATGTGTGTGTAAGTTGATAAGGTGCTGAAGAAAAGAAGTACCCTTTAATACTAATATCTAAAATGGAGAAAGCGAGAGATATAGAAGGAGAGCTTGAGTTTATGAGGGATTACTACAGGACTGGAAAGACTAAAGAAGCTTCTTGGAGAAGGTCTCAGCTCAAGAACTTGCAGGCTCTTCTCAGGGAGCAAGAGGCTCAGATTTTCACTGCTTTGGATCAAGATTTGGGTAAACACCCTGGTGAGGCCATGAGAGACGAGGTATGTCAAATTTCTTATCTCTGGTAACGTATACATATATAGACGTACATCTTCTTGTTCTGCGAAAATCATACATGCGATGTAGACTCTGTCCTGGTTTTCTTCCAGTCTGTTGCTTGATGAAGAGGATGGCAAGAATAACATTTTTCAAAGTTTGAAGCTTCGTATGAATAGTCTAATTTCTTGCTTCTTACTGTGTGGTTGCGGGAAGTGTATTCATTCCATTCCATTCCATTCAATTTCACAAAAGAATTTGAAGTGCTTTGATTTATTCACAAATGAATTTGAAGATGGAAATTATTATTCATTTGTTCCAAACACATGCTAATAAAATATTGATGTTCTTCCTGCAGATTGGAACTTTAATAAAGTCTTTAAATTTTGCTCTGGGAAATCTGAAAGAATGGATGTCAGGCACGAAGGTAAATCTGTGCCCCTGTGTGTGTATATATATATATATATATATATATATATATGTTATATATGACTAGGCCCGGATTAAATATATTGAAGACACATAGACTTAGTTATGTATCTGTATGTATACTTGACAGGCTAAGCTGCCACAAATTGCACTGCTTTCATCTGCGGAAGTGGTTCCTGAACCTTTAGGCCTTGTCCTTATCATTTCAACTTGGAATTTCCCATTTGGTAAGTTGAATTTATGAGAAGTCACTTAAGTAAAATTACCAAGCTGTAATGATAAATAATTTTAACTTTTTCTCGTGGGGGTAAAAATATACAAATAGGAATGTCCCTGGAACCACTTATAGGAGCAATAGCAGCAGGAAACATAGCAGTTATCAAACCTTCAGAATTAGCTCCTTCAAGCTCTGCACTTCTAGCCAAGCTAATTCCGGCTTATCTAGACACCAAAGCTGTCAAGGTTGTCGAGGGAGATTCGACAGTAGGAGAAAAACTTCTGCAACAAAAATGGGAAAAGATCTTCTTTACAGGTTTTCTAATTTCTTACTACTTAAAGAAAATTTGCTGTATATGTAATGCCATGTTTATGTTGCTTACTTTGATTGCTTTGTCAACAAGCCAATTCCAGGAAGTGCTCGAGTTGGACGGATAGTTATGTCAGCTGCAGTGAAGCATCTTACGCCAGTTTCTCTGGAGCTTGGTGGAAAGTGTCCAGCCATTGTTGATTCCCTCTCATGGTCTTGGGACAAAGAGGTTCTGAAATTTCATCGTCATGACAACCTAACTTTGTATATAGTAGTCTATATAAATTGGTTAATTTGATCTTTTTAAGGCTTTGATATGTTTCTACTAGTTGTTTATGATTCATATTTTGATATGATTACTGTTTTTTTTTTTTTTTGAAAAAAAGGTTGCTGTGAACCGGATTCTTGGGGCGAAATTCGGGTCATGTTCGGGTCAAGCATGTATAGCAGTTGATTATGTTCTTGTGGAGAAGGGCTATGCTTCCACTTTGGTATGGAAACAAGAAAAATTAACTTTTTTTTTTCCTTTCTTTTTTAACTTTTTGAAAGCTGTAATACGATATCAGATTTTCAATTGTTTAGGTGGAATTAATGAAGGAGTTAATCAAGAAAATGTTCGGTGAAAACCCTAGAAAATCAAATAGTGTTACGAGGATAATCAACAAGCATCATTTCTTGAGACTCAAGAATCTTCTTTCCGACTCTAGGGTTAAAGATTCTATTATCTACGGTGGCTCAATGAACGAAGAGCACTTGTAAATACACTTACCTTTCTAATTTATTTATTTTATTTTATTTTATTTTTATTATTTAACATTATTAATAGTTTATATATTAGTTGAATATTTCGTTTTTTTTATATTATTTACCCGCTCATTTTTTTTTTTTTTATATATTATTGAATTTCGGGTTATCCGAAATTCACCAGTTCTCATATTAAATTTTATGAATGATTGAATTTTCTATATTTTGAAACTAGGTACATTGAACCAACAATCTTGATGGATCCTCCACTTGATGCAGAAATAATGACAGAAGAAATTTTTGGACCACTGCTTCCAATAATTTCAGTAAGTTATCCCAAATTAACCGGACTTAATCTTAGTTTTACCAAGAGAAAAGACTAGGTTTTTGTTTTCCTTTATCGTTTTATGTTTATGATATTGTAATTCGATTTCTAATTCATTATGAATTTGAATGTTGTTGCTTTCCAAAGGTAAAGAAAATTGAAGATAGTATCGATTTCCTTAACATAAGGCCTAAACCGCTTGCAATCTATGCCTTCACGAAGAACGAAACACTAAAAAAGAGGATTATTTCTGAAACATCATCCGGAAGTGTGGTGTTCAACGATGCAATCATTCAAGTATAACTCATCGCTATAACTCAATCATTTTCTTCCTTTTCTTTTGTTTCTTATTTATAATGAAGTCAAACTCAATAATTTTTAGAAATTATTACGTGCTCAATAAATATAAATGAATTAAAAAACTATATATGTTACACACTAATTTATTTTTCGATGATGTGTAGTATGCAGCCGATACTCTCCCATTTGGAGGAGTGGGAGAATGTGGGCATGGCAAGTACCACGGGAAGTACTCGTTCGATACGTTTAGCCATTTCAAGGCCATTGCAAGAAGAAGCTTCCTCACTGATTTCTGGTTCAGGTTTCCTCCATGGAACGATTACAAGTTGCAGCTACTCGAGACTGCTTATAACTACGATTACTTTGAATTGCTTCTTTTTGTTCTCAGTTTGAAGAGGCCTAAAACGCGTTTATCATATATCTAGCTATCTTCCGAATATTTTTTAAAATAATGGTTAAGCGACAATTATTGAAAATAATCACGTCCATAGCGATGGTTGCGTGAATCGTGCTCGTTGGCTGATTTGAAGAAAGCTTTCTTGTTGATAAAACAAGGAGATAGATATCGAAGATTTAGAATGGTATATAGCTTAGTAGATATCAATAAAGAGATATGAAATTCTATCTTATTCTCTTTGTAATTTTTTTTAGTTGATTTCGGTCTAGGTCGGAAAATGAATGCGTGCATCGTGATCTCTCTTTTCTTTTTTTAACTTTCGGTAGTTGTAATTAATGTATTATATTGATAATCACGATATTTTAATAAAACGTGTTCTTTCGTGTTTAATAAACACTACTAGATTATATATTCTTTAAGTACTACTAGATTCGATGTTTAATTAATTTTAAAATATAAATTTTTATTTACAAAAAAATTATATAATATTTAAAAAATAGAAATAAAAATTAAAAATAAACTTAAACAGTATTAAATGAGACCGTTCATAATGTTAAACTTTACAGTAATTAAATTAAGTTTCATGAAAAATAAAATTAAAAGAATATTAGATTAAAAAATTTAAAGAAATTATATAATATTTTTTTTAAATAAAAAAAGTCATTAATGTTTGGTAAAATAAATAAATAAATAAATAAAAAGTAATATTTTAATCTATTAACGGAAACAGACCCCACGCGACGTTCTGCAAACCCCGCCAAGACTAGATAGAAAGTTTCCCGCCAGTTTTCTTTCTCTAAAACCCCCACCACTTCTGCATCTCATCGCCTCTCTCTCTCTTCCCCTGTGAAATCCTAGCAAAGTTCCCTACTTAATTGACCGCGCATCGATGGCGGAAACACCGAAGTGCAAGCTTCTTCAGACTCCAAAGAAACCAAGGTTATCACAAACCCCCAACCTGAAATACTCCGAGTCTCCTTCAGTCCCGCTTACTCCTCAGATACCGCAAACCCTAGCCCCTCTTCGACGATCTTCTCGCCGGGCGTCCCTTCCAGTTGATCCGACGACTCCATGGAAACTCTGTAGCGCGACTATTGAACCCGTTCAGGATTCGTTGCGAAATTCCAGATTGGTGACAAATGGCGAGAAAACTGATCTTGCAACGCCTCGAAGCTCATTAGTTGATTGTGCCAAAGAAGTTATCGGATATTCGGTTCGAACCCCTAAACAATCGGGCGAAGAAGAATGTGCACAAATCTTAAATTCGATTGAAGAAAGGAAGTCTAGGGAAGTCCCCAAACTAGGTGGAAATGGGAGAAAATCAAAGAAAAACGACCAGAGTGATGCTGCTGATAATGTTTCATTTTCTCCGGTTTCACCGGATCAATCAGAGAGGAAGAGGAGGAAAAAAGGAGAAGAGAAAAGGGTAATGTTGACGAGATCGAAGGCAGGAAAAAACGTCAAACCGGGTGTAAAGGGGAAGGAAAAGGATAAGATTAAAGGTAAGAAGAGGATATATTACAAGAAAGTGCTGTATGATGGAGGTGAGTTCGAGTTAGGTGATGATGTATATGTGAAGAGGAGAGAGGACGCAAGCTCAGACGAGGAGGATCCCGATGTGGAGGAATGTAGGGTGTGCTTCAAGTCGGGGAAGAGTGTCATGATTGAATGTGATGACTGCTTACATGGGTTTCATTTAACGTGCTTGAAGCCACCACTGAAGGAGGTCCCTGAAGGGGATTGGATTTGTGGGGTTTGTGAGGCAAGGAGATCAGGTAAGCAGGTTGAATTTCCAAAACCACCAGAGGGGAAGAAATGGACTAGAACCCTGAGGGAGAAACTTCTTTCAAGTGCTTTGTGGGCTGCTCGTATTGAGAGGTTTGAATCTTTTCTTTCTCCTCTCATCTAAACGAATCAAACATATTTATTTATGTGATACTCATTTATGTTGTTACCAAATGAGCCTCTTGTTGTTTGGAATGAGCAGTTTGTGGAAAGAAATAGATGGTAGCTATTGGTTTCGGGGACGCTGGTATATGATACCGGAAGAGACTTCTGCGGGAAGACAACCTCATAATTTGAGAAGGGAGCTCTATCTCACTAATGATTATGCTGACATTGAGGTGAAATTTGCTTTCTTTGACTTTTATTTCTTTTTCTTTTATTTTCAACCCTATTAATATGCTGCCAGATACAAAAATCTTGTGTGGCCAAACAGGCATTTTCTTTTCAAGTTGCATTCTAGGAACTTTTGAGATGAAAGCTTCTAGTTACCTTACACTGGCAAAAATTTCCAGTTATTTTAAGCTGTAGGTCTGTTCCTGATTTCAGTTACTTTAATGTAGTGGGCTTGGTCATAATATTCATTATATTAGCTTTTCAGGAAATAATAATCATTTTTTCCACTAGTTAAAGTGAATAGCGTGTTTATTTTGGCCTGTGAATAAATGTTACTTGTATCAAGCAGTCAGCATATTCATAATTTGTGTAGGAAAAATCTTAAAAGGATTAATATTAGTAGATTGAGCTCATTAAAGGTTGTGTACGCAGAGAGGGATTTATGTGTAACGATGGCAACAAATGCACATACATAGCTTGACTTCTCCATTACCATAGTTTCCAGCTCCAACTTATCTTCTCCCACATCCTTGCAATTTATAAGTAGGTGGCTTCTCTTTGGTCCCCTGAGAAGTAGATATCTTTTTCCTTAGCCCAAAAAAAAAAAGAAAAGAAGAAGAAGAAACATATATTCAACATGAATATGATGAGCTTTGACAGGAAACAACTGGAATTCAGACAGTCTTCATATGCATTCTGGGAGAGTCATGGAACATTCAGAACTTTCTTCTTCTTTTCCATCTTTTATTTGTTAATAGAAGTACATATAATCTTTCTAGGCCTTATACAAAAACCTGGTTAGCCCTCTGGACTTTTAGCAACTTTTACATTTGATTCTTGTTTTCCTAGTTTCAATTGAGGTACTATGCTAAAACAAAGCTAATTCTCATACTAAATGTCATATATCTGTTCTTTTTCTTTCAGATGGAATCTATTATTAGGCATTGCTTCGTTAAAAACCCAAAGGAATATACCAAGGCCAACAATGAAGGGGATGATATTTTTCTCTGTGAATATGAATATGACATACATTGGCATACTTTCAAGCGTCTAGCTGATATTGATAACGACAAAGAGGTTATAAACTCATCATTCAGTGTGGAATTAAATATGGGATCTTTCAACCCAAATTTACTGATTCTCTCATCTCATATGATATGATGCTGAAGATGCTGCCTGTGACGAA